GGCAAGCCCGATGCCAGGGTGAGCCCAATGCCCGGTGCGGTCAGATGCCGGGGTGAGCCCGATGCCAAACAGGAGTCCGATGTCGAGTAAGCCGATATCGAGATTCATCCCGATGCAGTTGGGAGTAATCCCAAAGTTATGTGATTTGTATATGAATTTGTATGGTATGTGGTAGTTTGGGGGAGCTCACTAAGCTTCGTGCTTACGGTTTCAGTTTTGGTTTCAGGCACTTCCAGTAGAAAGGGGAAGAGCTCTGGATGATCGCATGGCACACACCACAGTCACAGCCTGGGAGTTTACTCTGATGTTTTATTATGAGATTTTGATTTGGGACAGACACTATGATGTTTTATGATACATGACTTATGATTTTACTTACGGCTTTGGATGGTTTATGATTTTAATAATGATTTGAAAACGAAATTTTTGGGTCATATTTATGGGATGTTTCAGGACTTCAGAGTACGATGTGAGTTACCTTCCAGTAGAAGTGGGTCGAAGGCACCAATGACGGCCCACTAGTAGTTGATTATAGTTGAGACGATTGTCTTTGTGATAATTGTCTGGTATGCCACTATTTGTTATGCTTTATGTGCTAGTATTATGTGATAGTGGTAGGTGTAGGTTACACCCCGCAGCAGGTTGAGATAAACCGGAGGGTAGTTCGGGCACCCAGATACGCCTAGTGGTATGTTATACTATGTTATTATGTGGTAGTGGTAGGGGTGAAATAGTCCCCATAGCCGGTTGAGATAAACCGGAGGGTAGGTCGGGCACCCAGATATGCCTGACAGTATGTTATGCTATGTTATTATGTGTTAGTGGTAGGGGTGAAATAGTCCCTGTAACCGGTTGAAATAAACCGGAGGGTAGATCGGTGTAACGTCTGGTTTCCTGGTACGTGTTTAATTAAGTATTTATCTATTTATTTTGAAAGAAGGACTCGACGAGTTGGTAGCCCTGAATCGTCGAGTAGAAGGCAGTTTGTACGTGGGGGTTTTAGTGAGCTACTCGACGAGTCGCAGCCCTGGCTCGACGAGTAGGACAGGCTAGATGAAACCCTAATCTTAAGGGTTTACACCCTATTTAAGCATCATATCTGGCCTCCATTCCAGCCACCATCACCTCCAAAACCCTAACTTTGAAACCCTAATCCACCATAAGTGATCTTGAGCTATTTCTTGCCATTTTGAGTGTTATTTTGTGCCTTTTGAAGCTTGTGGAAGAAGTAGAAGATAGAAGACTCAAGAGGGAAGGAGTAGATCCAGAAACTACACTCCATTAGCTACATTTTCTAGTAATCAAGTTTCCAACTTGATCATTCTTCTCTTAGATCTATTGGTTTCCATTTTATGAAAGTTTTGGTTCAAGAACCTTGGTCCTTGGAGTTGGGACGTCCCAAGTGGCTCATATCTCAGATCTAGGATCTAGGGAGGGTTCTACGGCATAAAGGTGCAAACTTTATGACCATGGAAGCCCCATGTAAGCATATGAGCAAGTTTATGGTCTTTGTAGCCCTAAAAGACTATGCATGGAAGGAAAAGTCAGAACTTTATGGTTCCAACAGATGTTAAGACCCTAGATCTAGGTTTGTATGTGTGGATTTGAGACTCTATGGCCTTTTGGACAAGATCCATGTCTTATAGGAATTAGGGTTTTGTCTAAACCCTTTTAGAAGAGTTATGGAGGGGGTAAACTTGGAAACTTTGCCCTTAGAAAGGCCTTTCCAGTGGGCAAACGAACTAAGAACCTTGGATCTGGAAGATAGGGGCTTAATCCGTTAAGTTGGCCAAACAGACAGAAGAACTCGTCGAGTCCGTAAGGGAACTAGACGAGTCGTTTCGAGTTGTCCCGATTTCAATTAGTAGAACTCGACGAGTCTGTAGAGGGACTCGACGAGTGGATGAGCCAAGTCGCGACTGAACAGGTCGATAGAACTCGGCGATTCGAAAGGTTGACTCGGCAAGTTGGTCAACCCAGAATGTTGACTTTGACCAGAATGTTGACTTTGACCAGAATGTTGACTTTGACCAGGGGTAAAATGGTCATTTTACCCTATGAAGAGTTATTAGTTTTTGATTGAGTGTTATTATGGAATTTATAGCCGGGGAGTCGCTAGAGCAGCAGACAGGGATTTCCTCACTCAGGTTTTCAGCAGTCAGTCGTACGAGGTGAGTTTCCCTTCAGTAGGAACTAGTTTAAGGCACCAAGGTCGACCCGTAGTATGATATGTTAGTAGCCGAGAGTGGGCGGGGCTCGTATCTCACATTTTAATTCGATTATGGATATATGCGTGACTGATAGAACTAGTTATACATGTTGTCTATGTGATACCTGTATGTTATTTAGTAGCTGAGTGTGGGCGGGGCCTATCTCATAATAGTTGAGTGTGGGCGGGGCTCGTATCACATAGTAGCCGAGTGTGGGCGGGGCCCGTATCTCGAAGTAGCTGCGTGTGGGTGGGGCATGTATCTCATAATCAGCGGAGTGTGGGTGGGGCCCGTATCTCCTAGCTAGCGGAGTGAAGGCGGGGACCATATCTCCATGAGTGTGGGTGGGGCCCGTATCTCTTTAGTTGTATGTTATATGTGTATGGTATGTGGTAGTCTGGGGGAGCTCACTAAGATTCGTGCTTACGGTTTTCAGTGTTGGTTTCAGGTTCTTCCACTAGCAAAGGGAAAGGCTCGGGATGATCACATGGCACACACCACAGTCTTCAGCCTAAGAGTTTTACTCTGATATTTTGATATTAGATTTTGATATGTGACAGATATTATGATACCTTATGATACATGATTCACGATTTTATTTATGATTATGGATGATTTATGTTTTAATAATAATTTGAAAACGAAATTTTGTTCCATATTTTTGGGATGTTTCTGTCGGACACCCAGATATGTCTGGCAGGGTAGGTCGAGCACCCATATATGCTTGACAGGGGTAGGTCGGGCACCCTGGTATGCCTGACAAGGGTAGGTTGAGCACCCAGATATGCTCAGCAGGGTAGGTCGGGCACCCAGATATGCATGGCAGTATGTTTTGTGTATGGTATGTGGTATGATGGGGGAACTCACTAAGCTTCGTGCTTACGGTATACATTTTTGGTTTCAAGTTCATCCTTTTCAAAGAAAAGGAGCCGACACGATCGCAACGCATCACACTATGTTTCCGCACATGAGATCTTTGGGATTATGCTCTGATATTGTTTTATGATGACATGTTTTGATTATTGATATAATGATTTGACGTGGGATGATATTATGAACGTTTTATACTATTGGTCTTTATAACAACTTATTTAAAAATGAAATTTTTGGTCATGAATTTTGGGATGTTACAGACATCCAATAATATATAATTTGTTCAATGTTCTTCAGGCCATTTATTTTTTTCCAGTGTAAATAAGTTTTTTGGGGTGTTAAATACACAATTAAAATGCATTTCAAATGGATAATTATGTCATATTCGATGTCACAGTGGGTGGACATAGGTGGAATAATTTAGGAGTAGTTTAGTGTATATATTTGTATTTGACGTTCCAAAAAAAATGTCACAGTTGACATAATGTCAATATTATGCCGACTTGAATAAATAAATTCTATCATATTCATATTGAATGCCACAATGAACAATACATCAGACAGAATTTAATATCTATTTATCCTTTTGAAATTTACCTTAATGGTGAAAGAAGACCCTAAAAAACATTGGTGGTCTATTGAATACAATTGAAAGATCAATGACAAAACTACATACTATTGGTGGTCATTTTATGACATTAACTACCTTACATATACATGAAGAACAATGAGAAACTCTAGGGTTCTTTCCATCTATAAACATATAAACTATATGCTTTAGGACATAGTTGTCAGTTGATGTCAATATCTATACATTGCTTAATCACTATAGACTATAGAGTAGTTCCAAACTTAGCTAGCTTCTTTCTCTTTCTGTGGTGATTCTTGGACTTTACTGTACTATCTTTGCAATGAGTGACTCATACCTCTTAATAGTGAAGAAGGCCTATGCTTCTTTCTTAACTTAACCCCAAAAAGGAATGACCTGAAAGGTACCTTTGACTTAGAGTTTGACCCTTTTTTCTTACCAAGATCCGCATCCAACTTTATTAATGTCTCTTCGATTTCAATATGTATCATTTTGACCCTTTCGCATGCAGCTCGTAACTCATCCAATACTTTATTATTCTCTTGCTTCATGTTAAGAAGTTCCCCTTGAAATTTTGCAGCTTGACAATCATTAAGTGGTCTGGCTTTCTTTTCAGATTTTGAATCGTCATTTGTCAAATTTGCTAATTCATTTTGAATTTCGCAAAGTGATATTAATCTATGTTGTAAATCGTCTTCTAAAATTTCACTCGACTCCAACCATAGAGTCACTTCTGCCAGCATGTCTTGTAAATGTCGATATATTGGTCGAATATCCGAGGCAAAAGAGGGAGAGTTTTGATGATAGTGGCGTTTACTAATCGCATGCCCAAGCCCATATTCGTGTTTCTTTTCTTTCCCTTCTTTTGCATCTCTTGCTTCCTGTATTTCTTTTAGTAGGTCATTTGTTGTATCTTGAAACCTGTTTATTTGGTGATATGTTGTACTAAATCTTAACCATAACTCTAAGCTCTCTTTTCTAAATTCATCGATTTCTCTACGTATCTCATCTTCTACTTCTCTAATTTCATTAGGGTCATCAACACCATCATTCAAATCTGGGTCTTTCTTTACTTCAGTCTCTAGGTTTTCATCACCATTTGAGTCTTGATCACCTTCCTTTTTTTCATCAAATTCTTCTCTTTCATGTGCCCCTTCATCAGTAGAATCAATTTCCGTAGTTTCAACTTCTTTTATAACTGAATCTTGTGCTTTTGTTACTTCAAAGTCTATATTTTTATCTAAATTTGTTTCAAAAAGTTTTAATTTTTCATGTAACGACCGAATCTCGTTATCTTTCGAGTCATTTGAATTTTTCAACATCTTCATCTCGACAGCGGTTTTGAACAATCTTGCACGATTCTTTGTTTCGGTTTCAATGAGCTTCTTTTTCAATTCCTTGTAGTTTCTCAAAGTCGATTTGTACTCCTCAAGTAACATTTTCTCTCTTTCTTCTATTTCATATGAAAATTTACGCTTCAAATTCGATTGATCTTCTTCACCCATTCGATCACCATTAACATCAACAACAATATCATGTTCTTCATTGATCACCCTTTTTGTCAATGTTTGTTCTTGTTCTTGTCCTTGTCCTTGTTCTTGCTCTTGCTCTTTCTCTTTCTCCTGCTCTTGCTCTTGCTCTTGCTCAAGCTCTTTTCCTCTTTCCATTTGGATATCCTTTTTCTTTACAGAATCCTCTAACTCATGACTATCTTCATTAGGTTTCATTACAAAACCCTCAAAGTCATCATTATCTTCATTAGGTTTCTTTTCTAAATCATTCTCTTCTTCTACTTCTGATCTTTTATCATATTCTTTCTTCTCTTCATCGTCTGAAGGGTTTTCATCTGGTTCAGCGATTAAAAGCTCATTAGATGCATTATCAAGATTAACACTCGCATCATCGAACCTGGTTTCCAAATGCACATTTTGCCCTTTGACTTTCTGATCAAGGCTCTGAATTCCTTCTAATTGTTCCTCAAGCCTTTTGATCTTCATCTTCATTTCATTTGAATCATCAACGAGGTTCTTGTTGTCATGTTCCAAACTTTGAAGTTGTTCATGAAGATCATCGTTTTCGAATCTAAGCCTCATCACAAGTGCAGTCTGGGACGCCAAATCAATTTCTAATATGATGACCTTATCAACAAGTTTCTCAATCTTCTCAGCAACTTTAGAGATAGTGACAGGTTCGCTTTTTCCAAGAATATCTTCTTTGATCCTCGATTTTCTATCTTCAACCGTTTCAGATTCTTTTTGGTCAAAATTACATTTGGGTTGACTTTCGATCAATCCTTCTTGACCATTTCCATCTCTATTCTCTACATTCTGTTGTTTCTCTTCGATTTTTGTTGTTTTGTCTTTAACTTGTTGGCTCGTTTGCTCCATGTTCTTAAAATCTGAATTACTGTTATTGCTCGATATCAGAGCCTCAAACTTCTTTCTAATGTCGCCAACCCTTTTGTGTTCAACCGTCGCCTCTTTTTCAACTCGATTTTGTTTATGTTTCAAGTTGGCGAGTGTTTCTCCACACATTTTCAATGCCGAAGACGCCATCAAGGTTTGAGCATCGTTATCCTCGATCACAGTCCTGACCTCCAACTCATCCTGCAAATTGCTAATTTTAGCATGCATCTCAGTGATGTTGGTCTCGATTTCCCAAAACTTTGATATCGCGTTTTCGTATGAACATTTTACAAATTCTTTTTCAGTCTGAAACCCTAAGATTTCCTTTTGAAGCTTATCGATCTCCTCAAGTGCCTCGTCTTTACTCAATCCGGAGCTTTTTACGGGAGCTTTTTCGTCGACCCCGATTTTTGATAAGTCCTTTTTTTGACATCATTTTTCTTGGCATTTTCTTTTTCTTGAGCACTGCTTGAACTGCGTTCTCCATTTTTGGAAGATGGTTTAGTTTCGGTGCTTCTAGCATCGGCGTTGGCAACGGCAATGGCGCACCTGTAGGGTGCTTTTCATGTTCCTCTACACTAAACGCGAAATCTTCGTCGTCTTCTTCTTCAATTGACATCTGTACCCTTTCGGGGAAGATAACGGCGATGGTTCGATTCGCGCTTTGTAGATCTTTCGATAAATGATCGTATCTTTCTGCTAATGCTCGATATTCCCGAAAAGTATCTTCTACGAAGTTTACGATCTCGGGCCTTTTCTGATAGTATTGTTCAGCCCTAACCCTAAACGAGTCTCCATCTTCTGTGATGATTGTCATTATGTATTCTACCTTTTCCTCCATATCTGAAAGCCAACATGAGCAACACATTAATACGTTTCAAAACTCAAATAGACGCCATTGTTGAAGCTCTGAGAAATAATATTTTCTTTAAACTAACAAATTGTTGAAAATGGACACAAGTAATGTAATGCCAAAAAGAACACAACCCCACAAACTAACTGAATTTTGTTTCTCTAAGTATGAATTTTGATAAAGATATCAATACCTTGGAGATTCTGGTCCAGCCATTTTGATTGCTTGGTCCTGATGTGGCTAGCCCACCACCATGAATATGCATTTCTTGAAGCTCTTGTCAACATCCTCTTCTTCCTCTTTATTCTCCAACTAAGAATCCACATTGTCCACAAGAGTCTTTTTTTTGGTCGGACCTCTGGCTACCATTTAGCCTAATGGTTCTTGTCATGTGATTCCTCATTGCTTGAGTTTATGAAACTTGCATTAGAAGGTTATTGGATTGGTTGGAAAATGGATGATTATTTGGTCATATTGTTGGTATTCAGCAAGTTTCTTGAAGGGTAAAAGATTACATTTTTATGGGGTGGGGAAATTAATGGTGAGATATTGAAGGGGGAGTACTAAGTTTGGACCATTCAGGCGCATAAACATAGGAAACGATCACCTAATCTGCATATTAGCATTTAACAAAAGAGGGTTAAGCATGTAAAGCTTATATTTCAAGCAGGTTTGGTGGTAATAGATTTTTTATTGGACAAAACCCTCATTTTTATTTTTATGTTGAAAAAAAACATTGGCATGTTGATTTTTTTTTCCGTTTGCAACTAGCTTTCCGTTTGTTTTGTTTAATAAAGATATTCCGTGAAGTACTATTTCGGGGATGTTGAATTCCTAAGCTTATTTAGGTTAGGATGTTTGTTTGGAATTAACCTTTATATTGTGTGTGGTCCCAAAATGTACACATGAAGGAAGGAAGGAAGGAATATTTTGCAGAAATGAAGTTGGGGACCAAGCTACAACATACGAAAAACAAGCATACGTACATACCAAAACCAATTGCCAATTGGCATTTGGTGTGTTTGAGTTTGAGGTAGCCCCACCACCATTATATCAATCTGTCGCCACCTACGAATGAATCCCCTTTCACAACATTACAACCACCCTTCATTTTTGTCTTTTCCATTTACATAGTAACGACTTTATCATCAAAAATTATGTTGATCACTGTTTTTAAACAAAACATATGATATAATATTATAATGACAATATATTATGTACAAGAATTTTGCACTGCTGATTCAACAATATATTGTGTACAAGAATTGTTTACATCAAATGAATCATTAAAGTCCGTGAAATAACCATATTACATTGATTTTTAAAAATAATAATACAAAACAAAATTAGAAAATATGAGTTGTATATAGATATCATTCTACATTGATACAGAATACGACAACTGTTACTTATACATAAAGCATTATACAAAATGTTTCCTATATGGAAACAAGATCAAAGGACGCTTCTGCCAATTTTGTCACACATTTTGGACACATTTACAATATATTTATTTATATTTGTTCTTTTTATTAATTAAGTCTTCGAAATCTCAAATATCCCATCCTATTTATGTTTCCTTACAACTCAAATTCAATAACATTTATTACAAAATTATGAAAAATATTTTGAAGAGATACTTCTCTATTATATTTGCCATCAACTTGCTTAAGTATTCATCATCACTTTTCTTATTCTCCACCCCCGTTTTCTTGTCACGAGAAAGCAAAAAACATAATGGTTTCGGTTCAAAGCCATGCATGGCACCGGTGGTGATGATATGAAGATGAAGAACGTAAAGTTGAATAGTGGAATTAGTTCAAGTAGCTGCTGCTCAATTACCAGTTAGAGAAATGGTGAAACTCACAAAAGTAAAAGAGATTACTCATGAGTTAGCATCCAAAAAGCATGCCCTTTCTGAGCGTAAACGTAGAAGACGAATCAATTGCCACTACGACTCTCTTAGACACTTCTTCCCTCGAATACTCAAAGTAAGTATCAAAACACAAACATACATACATTTCATTATAATTTTGGTGCTAAAAAGTTAAAAACGAACCGATGTAGCTATTTGTTCGTTTGGGAATATCTTTTGGGGTATTAACCTACAATCTTGCATACATGATAATAAATAGAATTAATCTCCTAAATTTTTAGCTAAAAAAGATTACATTATATACGTTGCACTTGCAGAGCGATAAAGCCTCGGTGCTAGCAGAGACTGTGCGTCATTTAAAAGAGCTGAAAAAAATGGTCGCCGACCTAGCGCCGTCGCATCATGACGGAGAGCGGTGTGACAAGCAATCGTTTTTTATTCCCGGCGAGAACGACGAAATGAGCGTCGGTTACGTCGCCAGTGGCAACAAGACAGCCGTCCGAGCAATTGTCTGTTGCGAGGACCGACCGGGTCTTAATCAGGACTTGACAGAGGCGATTCATTCAGTCCGCGGGAAGGCAGTGAAGGCTGAGATGGCGACTATCGGTGGGCGAACTAAGGCGGAGGTGGTGGTGGAATTGCGGGAGGAGGACGACGTTGGGCTGTTAAGAAGAGCGTTAAAGGCTGTTGTGGAAAATCGAGTCTTGGGTCGAACCGGGTTAATCAGTCAAGGATATACTGAACCGGAATTCATTGGTTTCGGCCGGAGGTATGTAGATGGTGAAAGGCCCATATGTGATCAAATTGAAAATAGGCTTGCTGATGGCCTAATTGTAAGAAGTTTAGAGAAAAATACAAGTAAAGAGTAAAGATTATAAATATTATGTTTTGGGTTAAAACCTGTTTTTGGGGTACTAACCGAAATAAAGTTAGCTGACAACTAAAGATTTAGTTTGTGAATTGATAATGTAGCTGAGAAATATATCTTTTTAGATAAATACATAATATATTTTATTAAATTAAAAATAAAAAGAAATTAGCATGATATTTTCTTTATATTATCTGGGATCATTTTATAACCTTTTTCTTTATTAATTCGTTCCAACAAAATGGTTCTTATTTAAATATAACTAATAAAAATATATTTTTTAAAAAAAAACTACGTAACCTCATTGAACTGTTGGACTGATAAAACTGTTAAAAAACTAACTTATATTTTATTTTATTTTTGTCAAACATTACGACCTAAAAAAAAGTGTTTTAGAGATTTTGTTGAAAACTTAGCACTTTTGTGTACTAGTTAAAAGAATAAATGGTGGATGGCACTTGTATTATAATTTAATAAGGGGGAAGGGGAAGAGAGGAGAGTGACTTTAACAAACTACTACCATTACCATTACCATACATACAGAGAGATACAGATAACAACAGATACACTTATTCCCTCTCTACTCAAAAACCTCTTTTTTTTTTAAAAAGGTTTTTTTTTTACTCCAATATTCCCCTGGTTGCCGATCTTCTAAAGGTTACACTTGCACCTGGTTTGGACCCTAATCTATCCAGGTTCAAGTTAGTTACCCTAACCCTACTACAACTATTACAACTACAATCTAACTTTCTACATTCATCCTCGTTTGTCCTTGAAGTGTACAAGTGAGAAAGCCTGGAGTACAACGGGGACGGGAAGGAGGACGTCGATGAGGTGTCAGAATCCGACGAGGTCACATTCATGTTGGTGTTGGTGTTGGTGTTGGTGTTGATGTTGGTGCTGCTGTTGTTCCAGTAATCATGTTCCCAGTCACCCGGAATGTGATCACTGGAGTCCCTTTGGGTGCTGCTATCTGTGCTGCAAGAACATGACTCCGAGAAGAACCCCGAGTTGTCACTGGAGGAGGAAGATTCCTCCTCCAGACTCCGGTGCCGGTGGCCAGACTGAGAAGCCGGCTGGTAAATGCAAGCCTCCCAAGGTTCAGTGGAGTGAACGAATGTTTTGTGTTTCCGTGGATCTTGATGCTGGATTATTGAGCTGCGTATTGATCGTGGGGCCCGTGGGGAGCATCTAAACAAACAAAAAAAATGAAATTGCTTGACTAATAACATAAAAAAAAAAAAAAAAAAAAGATAAAAATACCTTGCATAAAAGAGCATGTATGCGCCTTTTGTCAATACATGTTGAAGATCCACCTCGTTCACCTACATTGACATGATATTAACTCATATAAGCATAAGAAATGAAAGGTGGTATTTTTGAAAAAAAAATAAATAAATTAGTGAACACATACCATGGTGTCGTTAAATTTGAACCATCGGTTGTGATGATTCTTAACATAGCAAACATAATGACCAGAAAAGGCATCATTCATTGTATCTACATGAACCACCACCCCATAAAGCCTGTAAACTGGCGACTTATCACTTGTCCCACTAACATACGGAGCCATGTCTAAAATCTCTGGGAACTCAACCGATTTGTTCAGCTTCCCAAATTTACCACACTGTAATACATACAATCAAATTCAGTGACATACCAAGACTTGCACAAATATCTTTTGGTAAAAATAATATATATATATATATATATATATATATATATATATATATATATATATTACCTGAAATCTCTTCAATGCAATAGTAAGCACATTAGGAGCCTCCAATAACGTCAGTTTCTTTCTGGCTTTCTCATAGGATTTGCACCTTAAGAGCAAATTAATTAATACACTATATAACAGTGAAAAGGATGTGATCAAGAAAAGATAAGTGAACCAAAACCAACCTGCTGCATTTGTACTTGTTTTCACCATCCAGAATCTCGGTACATGTAAATTTATCCAAAGCCTCTTCCAAAGTTCCTATATCGCCTTCTATTTCAACTGTCAGATCCATCATCCTTTCATGCATCTCCGATTTGCCTCCACATTTGATGCAAATGATCTATTTATATAATCCAAAACTAAAATAAATACAAAGAGTCTGGTAATTATTTTAAATTTATATCTCAATGTCAAAAATCACCTTAGACCGTAGATAACCCCCAAAGGTAAGCCCAATCAGACTTGTTTCTTCTTCCAAACAGTTCAAGGCATTCGCTCCTGCAGCTTCCTTGATGCAAACTGCTTGCAAAGCATCGATAACATACCTGTAATTATAAATTCACTACTAGTTTAATCACACCACACAAACATAAATAAATAAGTTGTTCTTGTTCCATATCAAATTGTAACAGTAAAAGTTGACCTTAGAAATTCATGTGCATCTTCTTCTTTCCCATGCCCAAGATTGCTTCCGATGTTTTCAATATGGGTAAGTATGCGAATAGGAGACAACGGAGAGTTCCCATCTTTTGCCTTCATAACAAGGCCTTCAACCTCACATGTGAAGCACCATCCTCTCTTATCACCTAACAAACACTTTTTTTTTAATAATAGTTTACTCAGCTCAAAGAAACAACTTGTTAGTGCATGATAACATACATGCTTTGGAATGAAGCCCTTCCAGAAAATAAGCAGACAGAGGTGGAGTGTATATCAGGCACTGGAGCACCGCATTAGCATAACAGCTGCAAAATATGCATGCCATGCCATCAATATAGAAACTATTTAATTAAAAATGAAAATAATTACAAGCACATAACAGGTTAATGCCAAGCTCTACCTGTTTCCGCAATTTTTTAGGCCACAAGGCTGCAATTCAATCTTTTTTGAAGCGTACAGCTTGACAAACATTTGGTATGGGAAGAGACCCTGTATCAAAATTATACCAAAACTATCACCTTATAAATCTCATAGACTTGGAGTGAAAAATTAGATTAAACAAGAAAAGGTTCCAAGTCAGACCTTGAAAGCGTATCTGTCACTTACTCCCTCTAATGACTTAGAGGGCTTGACCTGGTCAACAGCTTTTGATTTTGATGTCTTGGATCCACTTCTAATACGAGAACTTTCCGTGAGTTTGGGTGAAGAAACAGTGGCCCTATGATTGTCATCATCCACCTTCACAGGCTTTGTAGTATGAGATGCATGTCTACTACTGGTGTCCGGAGCTTTTGGTGATGAACTTATTTCCCTAGATTTGGATGTGTGGGAAATCCTACTCTTGTTACTGGAAATATCATTTGAAGAAGATAAGCTATCATCTTTAAGCACTGAAGCACGATGAGAAGGAGAATTTTTAGATTCCCTGAACTTGGAAGTATCATCCTTTGACGAATCACTGCTATCATTGAACTTGTTATTTCCCAAACCATCTATTATGACTTTATCAGCAATACATCCATTGATGATATTGCTATTCTGATTAGCAGTGTAACTGCCAGCTGAGGCAAAATCATCATGATCATTGATACTCGATTTCTTGTTATCAACAGTCGTATCCCAGAAACCAGAAGAGGTTGTAGAAGGCTCAGAAAATGAAGACTCGCTGTTTGTCCAACAAGATGAACTTGACTGAGCATCTTCATCACTTGGATTGGATCTTTTGAGATTGTCTTCCCTAAACCAGTTGACTTTCTGGCTCTGGTAGGGCTACCCAATGTCTGGTGCAATGATTTCACTAAGTTGTCAACAGTAACACCTGCAGAAAATTTAGTAGGGGTGGTAGAGGTGGAATTTCTACCCTGCTGATGAGCAAGGGATTCATCATCATCCTTGTTATCAGAATTTTCTGGGAATCTCCCAGTCACAGACGATGTAAAAGTTTGCTGAGCTTCAGTATCAAAAGTGTCACTTTGATCTTCATGATCCACTTGCCTATAAGAGCTGCCTCCCTCATCATTGATTGGACTCACAGCAACATAGGGACGGCACTCATGTTTGTGGCCTTGTCTCCAATGAATTATTTGACATTTCCCAGAGCTGAAATTGCCATGCATAACATGAGACTTACATTCAAGAAATTAAAAAAAAGAAAAGAAAAAGTCATATTTGAAAGTGGGGCTCTACTATTGTTCACATGTCCAATTTAGTTCATACATGAAATCTCCATCACACCCATATCTAAAATTTTGAACCACCACTAGAAACTATTCACTATATAACAATCTACACATCTCAAGGTTTCTGGAAGCAGTTATAACTTATAACACACTAGTAGCAAATACAGATTCCATCTTCTAAATCATGTTCCTGTAATATTCTAGACCAAATCACCTCCAAATCTTTCTCCTTATTTGATGTATCATGTAACCATAACTACTCCACATGCCAGTTTATTCCACAAGTTAACATAATGCTCATAATATGGCTCAATAAATGATATGTTGAATTGCCAAGTACTTTAGTGTCTGCTGGATGGGTAAGCTACTGATAAAACAACATACAAATCTAAGGATTCTGCAGTGAATCACACCAAGTTTTGAGCAACACAAGGGTATTTATACAAGCGTACAACTCCACCTTTGCCAAAGTGAAATAATTATAAAAAAAAAAAAAAAAAAAAAAAGTTAAGACAGAAACATGAAGTTGCCGAAATCCAGGTTCAAAATACTCAATCTCAAAGGATGGAGTTGATAAAGATATTACAAGTCTATCATATGGAAGCATTTCAAAACGGGTCAACTTCATACTCATCACATCTTCGCTTGATAAATTGAAGGGGGGGATTATGATCTCAGATTATCATTTTGGAAATTTCCCACCATAAAGGCTAAATTGTTTCCTAAGATCCATCAAATATAATATGTATACATAGATTTACCATAAGTGTTGAGAAATACAAAAGTAAGCCTATGTCTCCCTGAAATACGACAATCTAAACCCCTGTTACTAAATTATCCTACTCACAGCTCTCTTTAAAAAAAAAAAAAAAAAAAAAAAAAAAAAAAAACATTATCTTTTATTCAAAGGATAATAGAAGAACTTTCAAATGAAACACCAGCAAAAATAGTTAAAGCCTTGATGGATAAGAATGTCTACCAAGCGCCAAATACATACTACAGACCCAACCTAAGTTTCAAAAAGATTTTTTACGTCACTAAATTCTGCACAGATGTTTGCTATATTAGAAAATGTGAGCTAATGTGAAGTCGGATGTGCCCACAAATTGTGCTAAAGATGCATGTTAAATTGCATATAAGTTATTTAGTGTTGCTAAAAACATCCATTTTATATGTCATATGTACTTCTCAATGTCCAAGCAATCTTCATTAAAGGAATTGACTACGAATTAAGAATGGGTATATGCATGAATTCCATCACAGGCTGGGCCATCAGAGCATATCATCAATTAACTCTTAACATGTCCATTACTATCTAAATTAGAAAAGGGGGATGTTCTTTGGTGACATTGTTTAAAAGGTTATCACACCCCCCATGCCCTTATCAGATGGACCATTTTCAGTTAGTTTAAGCACCAACGTAGAAAGTAACCCTCCTTTAACAACTTTGTTATGCTCTATTCAAAACAAAATAACCACTTGTCCCCTCGTTTAAGCAAAGTGGAAAAGAAGAAAAAACGAGTGTTCTTTCCTAAGAATTTCCTATGTCTTTCTCCATTAGAATTAAGCACAATAACAGAACTGAAAGAAAAGGACGATTTATTTCATATTCAAGATCTTTGAATTAATTAAGCGTACCAGTAACGAACAGCTTTGCACTTGGCACAACGCGTGGTGGTGGGACAAAAGCAAACAGCACATTGGTATTGCGGTTTCAACGGAGAACCCAATGGAATCGACACGTAAGTCGGAACCGAAGCGGGAGTCAAAACCCGAAACCCCAGCCGAGGGCGTAGCGTTCGCAGTGTAATAGTACGATTCTCGGGCTTCAAACTCAGCCCTAGCTAACTCCTCTGAAGCCGATACCACAAGCCTCTTAATCTCCTCACTTCTCGCTACCGAATGCCGCAATTTTCGACGGATAATGAGCACGATCACTGGCACAACCACAACCACAACCAGGAACACCAGGGAGGGAAACCCTAGATCCCGTCTAACAAGCATTTATACAAAATGATGACGCATCCAGAAAAATAACAATAAAATCCTAATTCCACAACAATCATAGAGAGATTCCTCAATTACAAGACAACTTCTCAGACAGTAATTATCAAATGATGCCTTCAGAAAGATCGAAGTCACTACTTTTTCCACAAAATTGATGCTTACAATGACGATTTCGGTACATATAAGAAAATCTTGAGGCGTGATGAGTTTCCTACTGAGTTCTTGGTGGAATCGGTAGAGATTTGCAGATCGATATTTTAGGGCTTGAGAATATTAGTACGTTAAAATACGTAAGAAACGAATTTTTTTAGCATCGAGAGACGTGAATTATCAGCTCATCTTATATTCCCGACCCGAACTCGCTAGGGATCCGATATTCAAATGTAAAAGATATTCTCGGGTAATTTACTAATTTAGAGTAAGTTACAGTTTTGGTCCCTAGCTATACCACTTTTTGCTGATTTGGACCATGTTTTATTTTTCTTGCAAATATGTCATTTTTGTTTTATTAAAATACCATTATGTTTTAGTCATTTTTCAGATATAATCTGTATGCATCAAACTATTTCACTAAAACATCCAACTATATCTTTTTCCATTTTCGATGTTGATTATTTTAAACAATAATAAAATATTAACGGTTTTCTTTGCGGAATATATAGCAATCTTTTTGACATTTTATTTAGCTATTTTGATTATTATTTCTTCCTTTGTAAAACGTACTTCTTCCATTGGGTTGTTTTTGTGTTATTTTTAACATTTTGTGGTATTTTATAATTTTATAAACTTGTAATTTCTAAATAACCATAGTCCTTAGAATTTGGTGATTATAATTAATCCATCGGATTTACATATGAATCTCCCAAATCCCAAAAAAAAAAAAAAAAAAAAAAAAAACAATTACCATTTTTTCTATATTCATTTTTTTTCTTCCTTTTATTTTTCATCATTTAAATAATGTTACCATTTTCCTTGCAGAAGATTCAATTTCATCAACAATTGTAAGTAGTACGCATTTCATTTTCGATATATGTTTTTTTTGCATTAAACATTCATGCGGTGTTGCTAATTGTGAATTAAGGAATACAGGTTATTGATTTGTTTGAATGGGTGAAAGCTAATCTCAGTCAAATGATATTGAGAACCATATGATGCCTAATCCCTTATTCAATACATCTGATTCGAAGAGCAATATGGTTGAGTCAAAAACAAACAACTCTGCAGCTACAACCACCAAAAACAATAATGCTAATTTGAAACACAATAACTCTGTCATCACCGAGAACAACATTGAAACAAATAACAACTCAGCTGTCAGTAACAACAACATCGATGTGAATACCAACTCAGATTCAAAAACAAGCATTGATGCTCTCGCTCAGGTTCGAGAGTTGCGGTTAACTTATTATTGTTATAATTTTCTACATATATACCAGAATCTGATTCTTCGAGTTGATCACTTTGAAGATACATGTATAAACATTTATTTAGTTATCCAACCTCTATGTTGATATAAGTATGTAAAGGTCAATGTGAATATGTAATCGATGGTAACTTTTGTTGGATTCTCATGGAATTTCTTCATGAGTAAGTTAGTTTTATCATTTTGTTTTAGGGATATAGTGGTGGTGGTGGTACATTATCTCCACATGAGGATGCCCAAATGTCTGAGAGCAAACATTCTCTTAATGGAAACAAGGTTATCCTTTTTCCTTAACTAACTTTTTTAATTGGTTATTACTTTTGTCATTGTTTTTTAATTCATAATCTATATTGATCCTCTTGTCTATTCAACACCAACAATTTCCATTTGTAGAATATGTTATAAAGTTTTGTTTCATATCAAGACTAACCAAAAAGCTCCAAAGTTATGCTTATATATCTTCATACTACAATTATGAGTATAATGCATTAAACTATATTTCCTTAAGCCATTTTATTGTAGAAATGGACACTTGAAACTAGCTTGTTCGCATGGGCTATAATCTTTTTGGATTTTGTCTCAACAAATTGAATGATGGAATCTCTCTCTCTCTCTCTCTCTCTGATGGGTTGGGACTTCCCACATTCATCGTTGTTTTGATATATAAATATTAATTTGCAGGTGTACAAAAGTGGGCCATTATTTTTGTCATCCAAAGGTGTGTTATTTTCATAACCTTGTGATTACAAGTGCTCTCTTGTACAAATTTAAGTTGACAAAATGAACATATTTGATCAGTGGATATGAATAGGCATGAAACTCGCTCTATAGATGTAACAAACCTGATTGCTTAAAATGAATTATATGAAGAAAAAAACATGTTATTTAATTTTATTTTGGTTGTTTAAATTCATTTTTACATTATTATTGTTTATGGCTTCAATCATGTATTATGGCCAATAACCAAAACTTAAATCACATATTGATGTCACCTTTTAATGAATTGTTCAATAACTTACATGTAATAATTTCCAACTAATACATGTGTTTTCTATCGCCACTAGGTACATATTGTTATAATCATGTATATAACTTATGTTTGATTATTAACTAAGAATATGGTGTGTGTTTGTGTGTGTGTGTGATCAACTTTTGTTATCCTATTTCCTTACTAAAACATTGAAGCAAAATATGCATAATTTACCATATAAGAAAATCATAATAAAATTAAAATTTTCTTTGAACACACTTATGTTGAATTGTAGATCATTTAGCATATATAATACAATGTATGTATGATGTATTCATTAAAAGGAGAACCTTAGTACCGATCCCTAACACTATTATGACAAATTCATTTTTATTTGCCAATTGTTTATCATTTTGATGGTACACCGTATTTTCTCTTAAATCCTTAAATTACACTTGTTATGTAGGGATTGGATGGACCTCTTGGAAGAAAAGGTGGTTTGTTTTGACACAAACCTCGTTAGTTTTCTTTCGAAGTGATCCAGTAAGTTGCATATTTAAGTCTCTGGGGAGTTTTTTCATTTATATTTCTCATATGTAAAGTATGTATGAAAATAATAATTTTAATTTCCCTATGGACATTGTTGCACCTTGTGTGTATTAAAGGTCCATTAACAACTTTATTTTTTCATGTTCAGAATGTTGCGTCTCAAAGAGGATGTGAGGTTAATCTGACCCTTGGTGGCATAGACATCAACAGTTCGGGAAGGTTAGCTTGCTTTCTTTAATTCATATAATATTTTACATTTTACATTTTACATATTTGTACCTTGTTCTCGATTCTTTTTTACTTACTAAAAATCTTTCTTTGAATTTCAGTGTTGTTGTTAAAGTAGATAAGAAACTCTTGACGGTTTTATTCCCAGATGGTCGTGATGGGAGAGCTTTTACTCTTAAGGTGTTATTTCATAGACTTACTTTAAATGTAACAACAAATTGTATATTATACTTATGTTTTTGTGTTAACAATCTGCTCACTAGTATTGATATTGCATATCATCCTATTTCATAATATTAAGCTTATTATTAAAAAAAATACTTATGAGGTGTATTTAACATAAATAGAACACATTGTTTTTATACAATACTAACCAATATCCATGTTTTAATTATTTAATGATCCGAATAAAACTTTTTTTATTGTAGAGTATTTTCCATTTAGCTTTGTTTTCCCTAAATGGGGATGTAATAACTTGAATTTGGAACTCAAAGTGTTCAGACTGTTATAAAGCTCTATATGCCTACAAATTGCATGTTAAAGAGTTGCACGATAATGAAAAACACAATGTGTCACGTTTTTTCATCGAACATATACTAGTCTAATTATTTACAAGTATCAAGACATTTTCCCCTTGATGGGCAGTGGTTGGCTGTTTGTTTCTAATTACAATCGTTAATTGGATTTTATTGTTGTAGGCTGAAACTGTAGATGATTTAAATGAATGGAAGGATGCATTGGAGGAGGCTTTGGCAAATGCACCAAGTGCTAGCCCAAAAGTGGGGCACAATGGAACATTGAAAAATGAGAAGATTGATACAGCCGACGGGTGTTCGGAACAATGTAAGAATAATATTTCGAGAAACAATTTATTCGAAATTTTTTACTGTGATATGGGTAGTCTTGTGATTAAAGATTCATATGGCAATATATAATCTATTTTGCTTTTTTGTTCTCTTCCAATAGCAAACGACCAACCGCTAACAACATCATTGGTCCTTGGTCGTCCAATCTTACTTGCATTGGAAGATATAGATGGAACCCCATCTTTCTTGGAGAAAGCCCTTAGATATGTTGAAGATCATGGTAAGATGCAAATTTCATTTAATATAGGACTCCTTAACTTTATAGCAACACACTTTCCAAGATTAGCATAATCCATATTGCTCTGGCTACATTTTTATTGAGTTGTTTGTCTTTGAATGTCCAAGGATTAAAAGTAGAAGGCAATATTGAGGCAAGCTGCGGATGTGGAAGATGTAGAGCGTCGCATCCAAGAATACGAACATGGTGAGTATATAACTCCAAATATATGAAATATACAACCTTTCTTTTCCAATGTGAAGCACCATTGTGGTTAGTGGTTTTGCTAGTTATAATTTAAGGAGTATGATATGTTTGAAAGAACCGCATATTGGAGAATGTTTATGATTTCATGTAGGGAAGGTGGAGTTTACCGCAGATGAGGATGCACATGTTATAGGAGATTGTATAAAGGTAAGTCATGCAAGTTATTTATTGGCACATTGCTAGACTATTCCCTTTCCCTCATTGTACTTATGTCGAATTTTAATTGTGGACTTTTAATGCCTTTTTGTTTCAGTATGTTCTTCGAGAGTTGCCATCATCCCCGGTTCCAGCATCTTGTTGCAATGCTTTGCTAGATGCGTATCGTAAGTTCATGGTGTCATTTTCTAATGTAAGAAGTTATAAACAATAGTGCTAATGGTTTTGGTGCTTGTTTTATTTAAATTTAAATAATGTTACATTTTGTTCTATTTTATCTTATAGTAATGCCAAATTATGGTTAGGGACCGATCGATCCACGAGAGTTAATGCCATACGTACAGCTATATGTGACACATTCCCCGAACCAAATCGACGTTTATTACAAAGGTATCGGATAAAACATTTATGTTTATGAATGGTGTATTAGTTTCCACTTTAATACATTTTGTATATCTCATGCTCATTGTTTTTTTATAGAATTCTAATAATGATGGAAACGGTCGCTGACAACAAGACAGTGAACAGAATGAGTGTTTCAGCAGTTGCAGCTTGCATGGCACCACTACTTCTTCGTCCCCTTTTGGCTGGTGAATGTAACCTTGATGGTCAATTCAGTATGTCTGGTGGTGATGGATCTGCTCAACTTCTTCAAGCAGCTGCAGCTGCTAACCATGCTCAAGCAATTATTATCACCCTTCTAGAAGAATACGATAACATATTTGGGGTAATTTCAACATATGTTCTTATTATTCCTATTGGATTTACTTATTTGACACTCATATTTGTTAATACGTGTGTTCGTAGGAAGGAGACATGTTAAGTGATCTATACTCTGATTCGGAAGAGCTTGGAAGTGAGAGTGAAGAGCTTAGTGAAGATGAAATATATGAAGATGACGATGAAGATGATGGTGAATATTCGTCTGAGAGTTCTAATACAGATAAAGATTTTATACATGCATCCACCTCGAGGCAGAGTGGTGATGATAGAGATAATCCTCAAATTCATAACAAGGTTGGATTCTTACACTTGTCATTTTGTTATTCAATGGTTGTACAAGTTTTGATGGTAGATCCATAAAAGAAATTTAGAAAATGCAGGGACTTGGTCATGTTTCACGTTCCATTTCCCAAAAAGTAACTAATGATCTTGATGCCGAAAAAAAGTTAACATCAAGTATTGACCCGTCAACAAAAAAATCAGTTGAGCATTCTGAAAATGACAATGTCCACGCAAGTACAGATAGAAATTCAAGTGATAATATTATTCATCGATCTTCAACTACTACAGATGGACCTCCAAACATGCAACGCATGACTTCTCGCCGAACAAGTGTACGTATGAATATGTTATGTAGGTCACACATACACCCACACACATGTAAAATTTATATTTTAGTTACATTATGTGCTGCCTTTTTGGCTACTAATTATGTTTTGTTTAATTATAGGTAAACAAAAAGGCATCAAATGCCAATAAAGAGTAAGTGATTTATAAATTATAATCATATAAATTATTAAGATCTAACAATACTTCATAAATATTTTGTTTAATAGTGCTCAAGTTGAAAGGCTTGAGGCCACTAAAGGAGAACTTAAAGCAAAAGTTGAAGCAGAGGTAGTAACTTTGCATTTTTTTACATCCTCGACATATTTTAACCATTTTTATAAAATATAATGGAATGCTAATTACGAAAAATAATATGTAATTTCACAGGCGAAAGGAAACTCGGTTTTAAAAGAGGATTTTTTAAACAAAAAGAGAGCTTTTGAGGTGCATCGTCTGCAACTCGAGCAAGATGTATGTACAAGATATATATATATATATATATATATATATATATAGATATATATATATATATATATATATATATATATATATATATATATATAAGTTCTAGGACCTATTTCTCTAATAAAATATTTGTTTGCCACATTGGTATTTTAAATTACATGTATACAGGTGGTAAGATTAGAAGAACAACTGCGAAAGGAGCTGGAGTTGAAGAAAAAACTTGAGACTGGGATTAAGATATCTCAACAAGCCTTATTTTCACATGAAAAGGTTTTCTAATCTTATACTTTATTGTTTATGAGATTTGAATATTCATTAAATTATTGCAATCTAGATTTTCTAAAGGTAATCACCGATTCAAATGATTTTTCCAGGCAGAAAGTGATGTCACAAGCTTACATAAAAAAGTTAGCAATCCTGAAGACCGGTACTCAAAACCAGAAAAACTGTAAGTTGTTTTGTTCCAACAATTCTCTCACTTTATCAAGATTAATTTCTTATAACTATGTACTCTTTATATTCACGTTGTTAGGTACAGAAAAGATTCTCATGAAGCAACAACTACTTCTCATGAGAGTAAGGTAGCATATTGATGTTTCTTGATATATATATATATATATATATATATATATATAGATATATATATAGATATATATATATATATATATATATATATATATATATATATATATATATATATATATATATATATCGTTTATTATTGATGATGGCTTATTGAAATAACCTCTTTCTAAACTTTCGTATTTCTGAAAGACCCAAACTTTCATACTTCACAATATTGTCACTCCAAAACATGCTACATGCATATTTATAAACAATATTTTACATTGATAATTTATTACAAAAGAATGGATACAAACCGACTAAGTTTTAGTATATTATATTAGCATAACGTAAACCCAAGTACAAAAATAATAGTATAAACTATTCTAAATCTTCCAACAGTATATGACTATACTGAATTCTCATTACCTGCAATTGTTAAACACTGAGAGAGGTAAGCGGTGACGCTTAGTGAGTTCAATAATAGATACAATATAACGCTATGTCATATATATACTTTAATATGGCAGAAGCAAAGGGGTACAAGGAACAATAAAGGCATATGTGAAATGCGACAAGCTTTCCATATCAATCAATGATTTGATTCAATGATATACAACCAATGAGACATAACAATTTCAATACTTGATATACATCAATAACACTTTGACACAAATGGCACAGAAGACATGCGATTTCTGATTAAACATTTTGGTAGATTTCAGGCTTTTAGCCTTATCTAACCTTCTGCCAATGCCATAGAATAGAGGTCATTCTCTTACGAGACATTCTCTACATGGCCAGATGCTACATACCAGTATCACCGTGAATCTAAGTCATTTCACTGATTACATGGTCAAATGTACAACTTTGCTACCATAATAACGGAAATAATAACACGAGATGATAACACGGAAAAGCACATAGCACATATAACACATAACATACAATTGTTCCTATATATTGAACTCACCGTGAAATAACTGGGGGTTAAAGTATTAATTTTGGCAGCACTTTGACTCTAAATATGACTTTCTGTGACGAAACCGGGGATTTTAGTTGAAAACCGGCCTTACTCGGGCAGAGTTTCGGCTAGAAAATATGATTTTCTCGGGAACTTCGGAGTGTCGGGACTTGCTTCGGGTGTCGGGGATGATATCGATCGGGGCTTCGGGGGGTTAAAAGTGGGTAAAAAGGGATTTCGGAGTGAAAGGAATTGAAAAATGGCAACCAAAATACGGGCAACCTTGCATCCCTTATATAGGGTCCGAAGCAGCTCACTACGCGGGGCGTACTGCATGGCGGTCTTCTACGCTGGGCGTACCTGCGACGTATCGACTGATCGGAACCTGGGCCTCGGACGTGCCATCCATGCGAGATACGTGTCTAATTTGCAAAGAAAGGAGCTATGTGGCCAACTTCTGACCTAGTCCGAGTACGATGGGCGTACAACTTCGGATAAGTCTTGAATTTTTATTTTTTTTTATTTAAAAACTTCAAAAATTCATATCTTTTGCATACGAGCTCCGTTTTTGACGTTCTTTATATCCACGCGTAGGTGAAATTATGCTTTACAACCTTTATTTAGACTCCGTCGGCTAACTTTGACTTCATTTTTAATATTATATTTTTAACGGGCTAGGGCAAGAAAAGTTCGTTAAAAATTCATAACTTCTTCATCTGATGTCCGTTTTCGTCTGTATTTTTACCGTTGTACTACTATTCTCGAGACCTTCGATTCTCGTTTAGGTTGCGTCGGCTAAAAATCATTCGATCTTTATTTCGAGCTTCTAGCTGTCTACTGTTATTCCGAAACTTGGAAAAATCATAACTTCCTCATACGAAGTCAGATTTGGACGTTCTTTTTATGAAAATTCTCGGTTTAACGAATACTACGACATTCGTTTAGATCATAAAGGCTAAAAAGTAGTTTATCGAAAACTCACTTTTTACGTCATAAAGCGTTGTGTCGGTTCTGTCGCGAAACTTCGATTGGTCATAACTTCTTCGTTATAACTCGGATTTCGATGAGGTTTTCGCTTAAATGTTTCTAACGAGATTCTTTACAACTTTCATTAATATAATTTTACTTATTTTCAACTTTATATTTTCGTTAATTTCAATAGCTGACATTTGATTGAAATCTCATAAGACTTCCAATACATTCTGAATGATTCTAAACATAGTTTTACTTCAATTCTAGTAAAAACTATCTGTTAGAACTCAATGCCCAAATTCATATAAAATTTCATTATATTATTCACTTTTAAAATTATATAACACGATAATTGAACGTGTATGTTACAATTACCTCCTCCTTTTGAGGATTTCGTCCCCGAAATCACATCGATATAAATAACTGGGAATATTTCGCTCTTATCTCATTCTTATTTTTCCAATTATAATTTGGGCCTCGATGGTGTTCCCACTTGACGTGCACCAACTCCAAAACATATGCAGAAAGCATATCTTCTACTATTTGGATTGTTCTCTCCGTATGACCATCTGTCTGGGAATGATAAGTTGTGCTACGAGCAACACGAGATCCCAATTCATGTTGCATACTTGCCCAAAAATGAGAAGTGAAGCGAGTATTACGATCATAAATAATCTTCAGTGGTACACATCATTTATAGTTTTCTTCTCCTCTTTGAGATATCAACTATATAGACCAAATAGATAGAACACCCCTTCGATATAAATTTAAGAGTTTTTAAGAAAGAATTTGTCTTTAAGATTTTTAAGTCTTTATTCACTATAGACATAAATAGGATCCTTCCCTTCGATAAGGTTACGTACCATCTATTCGTAACACTAGAGTTCTGCGTGGTTCTTTAATAATCAATACATGCCGAGAATAATATCAAAGTTGGGTAAGGAGATAGGAATCAGATTGGCAAGAAAATTATAGTCTTCAATTTCTATGACACAATATCTATAGATTTTATCAGCAAATAATGATATACTTCCTGCAGTATCTACGTGAAATGATTGGGCGAATGAATAACAAGCAATTTGGAAAGAATGCACAAATTCATGAGACACAAAAGAATCTGAGGCACCAGAATCAAATAAGATGTGAGTAGATCTAGAGTTGACAAGAAATGTACACGTCACAACATTCGGGTCCTCGTGTGCCTCCTCTGTGGTAATCTAGAGTGCACGACCCTTAGCCTTTGACACTTCCTCCTTTTTAGTTGGAGTATTCTTTGGTTGTTGGACGGAAGCTTGACTTCCCGCCATTTGACTAGTAAGAGTAGGGCAGAAACGCTTCTTGTGGCCAGTAATACCACATGCATAGCAAGTAACATCCTTCCTTGGGCAAGCTAGATTTATGTGACCCGCTTCTCCACATCCATAGCAGACCACGGATTCCTTTTCTATTCTGCATTGGCCCAGATGATTCTTTCCACAAATGCGACATGATGGCGATTGAATAGAAAAATATTGTGATCTATCGCGACCACGAACGGCGCTCTGAGATTGCTCTCTTGTATTTGAATTAGATCGAACAGATAGAGCTGGTGGAATAGAGGAAACAGGAACAGTTTGATCGATATGTGGATGCTTTGGAACAGAAAGAGTGGCACAACGTATCTCTAAGTCATGATCGCACTTTCGAGCATACTCAATAGCTTTGTCAAAGGACAGAACATCCCGATTGGCTACAAAATCGTGGATTTCATGCCGTAGTCCCTCCATGAATAACTGAATTTTCTCGTCTTCATTTGAAACTTACTTTGCAGCAAACCGTGCTTTTTGATTGAACTGAGTTTCATACTCATTCACAGTCATTCCTCCCTCTTTAAGCTCAAGAAACTCTTTCTCCAATCTTCTCCTCATGTCTAGAGGACAATACTTTCCTAGCAAACGAGTTTTGAACATTTCCCAGGATAAATTCTCCTGGTCATACCCGTTAAGAACTTCATATGTTGCCTCCCACCATACCAAGGCTTCTCCGATGAGCATTGCAGAAGCATAATTAGCCTTGTCTTTATTATCCACATGAGAGATACGAAATACTTTCTCTGTGTTCTGAATCCAAGTTAGAACAACTATGGGATTAAGGACACCAGAAAACTCCGTAGCACCACTACTCTTGAAATCTTTGAACGAGGGACGCTTCACATCCCCTTTTGAAAATTCTCCAGTGACTTTCTCTTTGCCTTTATCATTATTCTTCTTGTGTTCTTCGAGAGTCTGCCGAATAATACCAGTAAGTTTACCCAAGAGTCACTCCTCACGAGGGGATACTGGAGTATTTACTTCACCAGGTTTAGGATTTCCACCCACTTCTGGCGTATGGCTACCTTCCTGTTTAGCCATTCTTCTGAAAATTTGGAGCAACATAGTATTTAGAATGTTAGGATTTATTATTACCTAATATTTTACTTAAATCTTTCCTATGGTTTGTATCCATATACTCCTAAGGAATCCGTTCATATATTGAACTTCCAACGGTGTCTAAATACCAATCCGTGGAATTTAGTTCACTTAAACCACCGCTCTGATACCATGATTGAAAGAACCTCTTTCTAAACTTTCGTATTTCTGAAAGACCCAAACTTTCATACTTCACAATATTGTTACTCCGAAACATGCTACATGCATATTTATAAACAATATTTTACATTGATAATTTATTACAAAAGACCGGATACAAACCGACTAACTTTTAGTATATTACATAACTACCCAAGATATTTAAGCTTTTATACAAACGTAAACCAAAGTACAAAAATAATAGTATAAACTATTTTAAATCTTCCAACAGTATATGACTATACTAAATTCTCATTACCTGCAATTGTTAAACACTGAGAGAGGTAAGCGGTGACGCTTAGTGAGTTCAATAATAGATACAATATAACGCTATGTCATATATATACTTTAATATGGCAGAAGCAAAGGGGTACAAGGAACAACAAAGGCATATGTGAAATGCGACAAGCTTTCCATATCAATCAATGATTTGATTCAATGATATACAACCAATGAGACATAACAATTTCAATACTTGATATACATTAATAACACTTTGACACAAATGGCACAGAAGACATATGATTTCTGATTAAACATTTTGGTAGATTTCAGGCTTTTAGCCATATCTAACCTTATGCCAATGTCATAGAATAGATGTCATTCTCTTACGAGACATGCTCTACATGGCCAGAGGCTACATACCAGTACCACCGTGAATCTAAGTCCTTTCACTGATCACATGGTCAAAGGTACAACTTTGCTACCATAATAGCGGAAATAATAACACGAGATGATAACACGGAAAAGCACATAGCACATATAACACATAACATACAATTGTTCCTATATATTGAATTCACCGTGAAATAACCGGGGGTTAAAGTATTAATTTGGGCAGCACTTCGACTCTAAATACGACTTTCTGTGACGAAACCGGGGATTTTAGTTGAAAAGCGGCCTTACTCAGGCAGAGTTTCGGCTAGAAAATATGATTTTCTCCGGAACTTCGGAATGTCGGGACTTGCTTCGGGTGTCGGGGATGATATTGGGGCTTCAGGGGTTAAAAGTGGGTAAAAAGGGGTTTTAGAGTGAAAGGAATTGAAAAATGGCAACCAAAATACGGGCAGCCTCGCATCCCTTATATAGGGTCCGAAGCAGCTCACTACGCGGGGCGTACTGCATGGCGGTCCTCTACGTGGGGCGTACCTGCGAGGTGTCGACTGATCAGAACCTGGGCCTCGGACGTGCCATCCATGCGAGGTACGTGTCTAACTTGCGAAGAAAGGAGCTACGTGGCCAACTTCTGACCTAGTCCGAGTACGTTGGGCGTACAGCTTCGGATAAGTATTGAATTTTTATTTATTTTTTTTATTTAAAAACTTCAAAAATTCATATCTTTTGTATTCGAGCTTCGTTTTTGACGTTCTTTATATCCACGCGTAGGTGAAATTATGCTCTACAACTTTCGTTTAGACTCCGTCGGCTAACTTTGACTTCATTTTTAATATTATATTTTTAACAGGCTGGGGCAAGAAAAGTCCGTTAAAAATTCATAACTTCTTCATCCAATGTCCGTTTTCGTCTGCCTTTCAACCGTTGTACTACTATTTTCGAGACCTTCGATTCTCGTTTAGGTTGCATCGACTAAAAATCATTCGATCTTTATTTCGAGTTTTTAGTTGTCTACTGCTATTCCGAAACTTGGAAAAATCATAACTTCCTCATACGAAGTCAGATTTGGACGTTCTTTTTATGAAAATTCTCGGTTTAACGAATACTTCGACATTCGTTTAGATCATAAAGGCTAAATAGTATTTTATCGAAAACTCACTTTTTACGTCATAAAGCGTTGTGTCGGTTCTGTCGCAAAACTTCGATTGGTCATAACTTCTTCGTTATAACTCGGATTTCGATGAGGTTTTCGCCTAAATGTTTCTAACGAGATTATTTACAAATTTCATTAATATAATTTTACTTATTTTCAACTTTATATTTTCGTTAATTTCAATAGCTGACATTTGATTGGAATCTCATAAGATTTCTAATACATTCTGAATGATTCTAAACACAGTTTTACTTCAATTCTAGTAAAAAATATATGTTAGAACTCAACGCCCAAATTCATATAATATTTCATTATATTATTCACTTTTAAAATTATATAACACGATAACTGAACGTGTATGTTACACTTATTCGAATCATCAAATGTACATCAAAAATATTATATCGAATATCTTTTATTTTTAAAGAAATTCACGCGTCTTACAGTGATATATAACTTCATTGAGAATACTTGATAGCATTAAGCTTATTTGATCCCTAAAGTTAAGCTTTTTTTTATTCTAACAGGATAACAAGCATCAATTTCAGTCTTATTCTGCAAAATTACCTCCACATAAACAACTTGATCCAACAAACAGTTGCAAGGTACATACAAATTCCCTTTACAAGCATTTTATCTTACTTAATTTTCCTATATAATACACTTATGGTTTATATTTTTATGTTTGTTTGTAGCAACATACATACTTTAGCAAAGATAACAATGACAAACAACACTTCTACTCCTTTTCTTCAAGATTACCTCCTAGTCAACACTCTGATTCAACAAAAGAAATGAAAAAGTCTTCGACAACCAAACCTAAACGAATGAACTCAAAAAATGAGGTATGTATATTTGCATAATTTTCTTTCTCAATGATTTTCTATAGTCAATGTTATAATACTATGGTCCTTGGTAGACTACCGGTACAAATTCAGCAATGTCAAAGATTACAAATGGTATTAATTTCTTGAAAGAAAGAAGCAACCAACTAGCAGATGAGTTGCAAATCATGAACAAAGATAAGAATAAAAGCCAATCTCAAAGGCATGCCCGAAAAGACTCACAAGATGATTTGGATATCCAATCATCTATGAGACACAAAGAAAGTCAATTGCAACACTTGGATTCACATATAGATAGAGAGAGAAAAACAGATGATCAATCTACAAATCTATCAATAGATAAACTGCATGATGAGAGTTCCTAACATGCCAACTTGAGATGATGTGTGGGATTGATCTTCATGACTATTGTTTGCATATATGCTGTATGATTCAAAACAAATAAGTATGTATTATACTTGATTTAAGTTGTATAATGTAATATGAAAGAGTGTGTATCGGTAACAAATTTATAAGCCTATGCCAATGATACTCTTAGATGTTTCCATTTTTACTTAGTCGGTTTAACAAGGACAAGACATAATTAAGGAAGCTATATATGTGTGTTTCCACTTGATTTAAATAAGAAATAATAACCCAACAAAGAAATTAAGTCAGAAAAATGAGGTTTTCCCTGTTAAATCATGACTTTTTACAATATTATCTCCATTTAGTTTTTACTTGGAATGTGTGTTCATTGCATTTAACCTAAATTATTATTATTTCATTAATCTTTTACTTTAATTTCCTAAAGTGTGTTGTCATTTTTTCACACAATTCAAAACATAATTTATATAGACATTAATTGGTTGATGTAGATGATAGGAAAAAAGAAACAAGTTCTAAGATGTCTTGCTAAGGACTTGCAACTTGAAGATCTCAACATTAATAACAATTTTTGATTGTCTATTATCACTTGGTCATGGTTTTGGGTCATCATAAATGGTTTTGGATCATCATAAATGATAAATTTGTTCATTCTGCTAGAATTGTAACCCAAACCCTTTTTACTTTATTAAGGTATTTTGCGATGAAGGAACCACCCAATTAGTTAGACTATAAGTGTGGTGACCTCAAAATAGATTATTTTGTGATTCGATAGCTAAGATATCGTTTACCGACTAATCTTATATGAATGTTGATAACATGCCACTTGTTTGGGAATCTTTGCAACATCGTCTCTATGAAAGTGTCAAATGTCCTTTTATCTGTCAACTATCATGGTATATTACATATAGTCAATATATACATTCAAAATTGAGGGTAGTGGTGGCGTGGTATTGGCATTGTGGTCATGCATGTGGCAAGGTGATGCAAGAGTTTTATAGGTTAAGTGTGCAATTTGGTATATTTCTTAAAACTCATTTTTGTTGCAATTGATGTTAGAATAAATACATCAATAGTTAGGCCATAAGCTAAGTGATACGATATAAATACAAATAAAAGTCCTATTACAATAAGTACAATATACATTAAATATTACATTGTAGTTTTGTAGCACCCATATATTTAGGGGTAGAAATTTGAGCCTTAAGTGAATTTATATAAAAAATGAAATATTACTAAACTAAAAATAATTGAATTAAATAAATTAATGTAAAATGTAAATCTAGTTAAATTGAAATATTAAAAATGTTAATTAGGTAGTTAGAAGACAAGTTGTACCAAAAAATTTAAGATTGAGAATTAGTGGATGACACTCGGATAAATTCATTTAATTATGATATGAACCTATTTATTATGAATTTTATCATTTAAGGTTGAATTAAAATATATAAACTATAAATGTTAATTAGAATGTCATACTTGTTATGAAATACTAGTCTGTGAATGACCATTGTTTCCTCATTTCTCCATAACTCTTCATCATTATTTAGCATTAGTAACAACTATCTTAATGTGTTTTCTGAGTGTAACAATGCACCATCATAATGTGTATTCATTTTATAACTCATCTTTCATCTTATTTTGGTAATATGAACAGTGAGTCACATGTATAAAAAAGTTAGTGATTTTCATCACACGTATTGGATAAAGGTTCTTTACACTCTCATGTCGTTATTTACTTCATAATTTATACTGTTATTTGATCATATTTCATAATATGTTATCAGCATGACTCTACCATGGATCTTCAACTTCTTGTCACTCTTGTCATTGTCAAGTATATATTTTATAAGTTCACATGCATAATGCTAACAAGATATTTTATGAAACTTCTTAACTAATAATCCCCTAACACACAACTATTTATTTTGATTAGTACTTTCACTATGGCAAACCTTAGCAGACTTGAGTTTATGGATCTTGACATTAGTGGAAAGAATTATTTATCATGGATCTTTGATGTTGAAATCCACCTTGATGCTATGGGTCTTGGAAACACCATAAATGGTGTAAATCATTTAAATGAAGCATCAAGTCAAGAAAAGGCTAAGGCAATGATTTTCCTTATCTACCATCTCGATGAAGGATTAAAAGTTGAATACCTCACTGTCAAAGATCCAGATGATCTTTGGAATAATCTCAAAGAGACGTATGATCATGAAAACGCGGTGATACTTCCTAGAGCCCATTTTGATGGTTACACCTTCAGCTACATGATTTTAAATCTGTGAGTGAGTATAATTCAACCATGTTCAAAATTACTTCCCAACTAAAACTATGTGGTAAGACTATAACTAATGAAGACATGCTAGAGAAAACTTTCTCTACTTTTCATGCCACTAACATGCTCCTAGAACAGTAATATCGTGAGAAAGGTTTTGAAAAATATTGTGAATTAATATTATGTATTCTTGTGGCTGAACAAAATAATGAGCTCTTAATGAAAAATCACCAATCACGTCCCACAGATTCTAGTCAATTCCCCAAAGTGGATGCAACATCATCTAATCATAATGGTCGTGGGTCTAACCGTGGCCGTGGCCATGGTCATGGCCGAGGTTGTGGACGTGGTGGAGGCCATCATAATTATCATCCCAACAATAACAAGAATATAAACAACCACCAGAACTGGGAAAATAACAAAAATGTAACATCCCGACTCCCAAGTATAATATTTTATATTTATGTATGAGTTGATTGAGCAACTCGACGAGTTGGATGCCCCAACTCGTCGAGTAGAGGCGGATTGACCACGTGGGTTTTATGACCAACTCGACGAGTCGGAGAGACCAACTCGGTGAGTTGGCGCTATGAGAAGAAACCCTAATTCTCCGGGGTTGGGTCCTATTTAAAGGACCTTAAGCCCTCATTTCCGCCTCACCAGCACCTTACTCCCCTGTGTGAAACCCTAATCACCTATATTGAGCTAAGAGAGAAAGAGAGCTAATCTTTGGGCATTTTAGTGCACTTTTTGAAGAAAAGAGTGGGTCTTTTGGCCTTCAGTCTACACTGGTACGCCTCTCAGGTCTGCAGTCTATCCAGGACGCCCTGGGTCTTTTGGCATTCAGTCTACACTGGTCCGCCTCTACCCAAACCGCTCCTCCCGAGCATTCGTGCCTACAACTTACAGTCGGCTCAGACCGGGTATCTTGGCCTACCACATAAAGCAGGACCGCCTCAACCCAAACCAAACACAATATGTCGACATATAAACAATCAGGATCATGTAGGCACATAATACATACAAACAACAATCATACAGCTCACTACCGCCTACTGGTCCTCTCACAGTATACAACCCTGATACCAGCTAACCTCCATAGAATGCGTAACCATAAGTAACCATAGGTGTGATAGCCACCCGAATAGATGGTCCTACTCTAGAGCCACAACCAAACAAGGAACAGGCAAGAGAGCCTAGACCAAGAGTTATCAGGCTATCCGACATGACCACATATAATCCCTAAGGGCACTCCATAGACGATAATCAGCAAGCACATATACATACAGTCCTATAGATTATTACAGTAAAGAAACATACTTAATACTAGGAGACAGATCTAACAGATCACTACAGCATAGCAGCATATTCGATACCAGAACACATATCTAACAAATCCCTAATGCATCCCTCTACTACCAGATAACCAAAACTAGTGGGCCGACATTGGTGTCTTTGACCCACGGGTATAGTGAGGCGAAACTCACCTCGATATGCGCGTAGATAACCACTGTAGCAATGAAGGATTCTACCAGCTTCAAATTACTTCCAATCACCTACAAGAAGATACTTGAGTCAATACTCGATCACAGATCATAGTCACTTGCAACAATGACTACCCCAAATGAAATGACGATTAGGATTTCACATAAAATGACAATTAGGGTTAAGTAATACCACTTAACCCACTAAGGACTTAATCAACTAAGGGTAAGAATGATTAAGGTTTGACGTAGTCATTCTCGGGTGAAATAATAATCCAATCAACAACCCAAATACGCGCCCGGTCATTATCCAAATAGAGCTCCTTGATTCCAGGGGTTTTCACATAAAATCATAACTAGGGTTAGTGTTCCACACTTAACCCCTTCAGGAATTAATCCATTAAGACCAATATTGCACTAAGTTAATTGTAGAGAATTATTAAAGTATTATTTTAAGGTTAATTAATAGTTTTAATGCGGGTCCCGACCAACTCCAAAACTAGGGTTTCTTGACATTAGGGTTTTCTAAACCCTAATTAGGGTTTCCAACTCCTTAAGTTAGATGATTAGCGAAATAATTAAATATATATTTTAAATTGGGCACCACCCACTGCCACCTCGGGCAGTGATGGTCAGCGGCGGTCCATGGCGGCAGGAGGCGGCAACCACCATCTCACGGTGGTGGTGGTGGGTTTTTCTTTGATTTTTCCGACCAAGAATGTCCAAACAACATATTCTCATTAAAACACACACCAATATACATATACACACATCCACCCTCACACGGTGGTTGGTGGTGGCAGAAAAAGTAGAAATTGCGGCAGTCACCATGGTTGGCTGCCATGGTGGTCCTCTTGATTTCCGACCAACAACACACGCCAAAACACACTGAAACACACACACGAACACATGAAACACATACACAAACACGTCTACGACAGCCCTCTTCGGGAGTGGTACGACGACCGGAGCAGCGGATAGGAGGGTCGTACGAGCGGCGACAGTGGCGGCTAACTTCTGCGGGACAGAAAGAAGGCGAGGGGTATTCGGAGTAGCACCCTCAACTGCCGTGTCGCGGCTGCAGATGGCGACAGAAAAGAAGAAGTGGCGGAGGAATGGTGGCAGCGGTCGTTCACAGTTATCTTCGGTCTCGAAAGGTTTCCTTTACAACGCTAGTCGTCACCGGTAGTAGGATAGATGCGGCGGTGGTTCAACGAAGGTGATGGCGACGCTA